CTCGTACACCAAACACACACGAAGCCTCAGAGCAGCTGGCGATGTCTGCCGTGGCGTCTGCTGCGCTTGTGGAGCAGCAACGAATGAGACGAGCCGAAACTCTACGGCGCCAATTCAAGCCAGACATCTACTGCTCCTGGATGAGATTGTCTTCATGGAGTTCGAAGGCTACTCAAGAATTCTTTACTTCGGCAGTACGGCCGATATCTGGACCAACAGCAGCCCGCGACTTGGACCAGACCTGGGCGAATATATTGTTTTGTTTCATTGTGCATTTCCCTATATAGTTATTTTTATGTTAGTGTGTCATGTGACACACTTGGTGGGGGGATTTGTAGAGGAGAGAAATGCAACTTTTATAGATGTCTTTTACATTGATAATTTTCTAATAAAATGGCTTAGACTTCCGTGCGATGTTGCCGGATCCGCTCTGTGTTGCGGAATAGTAGCAGCTCTATTTAGGATCATTCGTTCTGCGCCACCACGGTGAACAGGTGTGTACTTGATCACCTTATATTTGAAGGATTAATACCGTTGTCTTTTATGACCTAACCTTGAATGTTTATCCAAGTAAAAATAGTTTGCACTGGTCTAGGGATTGCAGGTGATAAGAAATCTTATAAAGTTTTATTGTGTGTGTTTAGTAATTAAGTATTTGAAGAAACTGTCGCTAATTAGTTTGATCTCTCATGCAGAGAGACCTCCGGAGTCGAGACATGACTAACACTCTCATTCACTGTTGTGCCGTGCATTGTCGAAGGAAAGTGTAATGTGCTGTCGTCTTTATTCCCCTATTCACGTTGAGTCGCAAGAAGTACGACGAACCGTGGCTGGGTTATTGCGGATAGGATAGTCTCACGTTGCGCCCAGTTGGTATACTGGCCCCGTAACAGTGTAACCAATAAATTTTGCTTCAAAGAAGGTTGTAGACTTTTTCATTATTTTGACTGCATTGGAGTAATTGGGGTAACTACTTCGACTTTGAGCATCCGTTTATCCTGCCACCTGAGACAAGCTCGCAACCAGACCAGGTCTCAAAGCATCACAATCAAGCAACTTCATCTCAAGATCCGCGATGAAATCAATTGGCCCCGTGAGACTCTCGACAACGTCAATCTCAACGAGACTGTCACTTGCACTGCGCTAGAGGAACCCACCAGCATCGTCATCTTGCGGTGGCCCGACATAATCCGACCGACGATAGCTGAAGCCCTTTTCTGCGGATTGGACTCCATCTATCCATCTCATAACTACATGATTTTTTACAACACTTCTCTTTAACTTCACTTCTTGTATGTCTGTCTGTCTGTCTGTCTGCTACAAATCTTGTAATCAAAATTTAATACACTTCTACTTATCCTATCGATCTGAAATTTTGCCCACTTGTGTAAAGTTGGAGACAATGCATGAATCAAATGTCAAAATAAAAGATTTTAGAAATTAGAAAAATATTTTTTTTCAATATTAAAAAAATTGAAAAAATATTTTTGTCAGCTACAAATCTTATAACTGATATTTGACACACTTTTACCTGTCTAATTGATCTGAAATTGGATACAGATTGGAATCAAAGCTTGAATTACGAGAACAATTTTAACGTCCTGACAAATCCGGTAGTTTGCAAATTAATAGCTGGAGACTCCTGCTTGATGATGAGAGCCTCAGCTATCGTCAGTCTTGTGGCGTCTGGGCATCTCATGATGACGTAAAATTATAATAAAAATAAACGTCGTAAAATTATAATAAAATGTCCCTTGGAAACCTGATATTTGGATTTTCACTTCCTATCAAGAGCCTAATTCAACGAATCGAGAAAAATAATAAGAAAATTGTCAATAAGAAATACTCTCTGGTCTTCAACGAAACCTAAATTAAAAATTGTGCATAATTAAATAATACGAGTGGTTAATGACCAGAGAAGTCATTGTTTCAAATTTTCAGGATCGAACAATATTCTTCAGTTGACGTTGGTTGATAAAAATTCAGGTTTAAGGAAGTAATTTAATTTATTAACGACGTTTCGAATGTGACATCATTCATTTTCAAGTTATAGGAAGCATTGAATACTGAAATTGTGGCGGAAATAAGTACACGATACACGTAAATATGATACAACACAAAAATTTGGAACCGTGAATATAATTCCGAAACAATCTCAAAGTTCAGAAAATCAGGTAGTTATGAGACGAGTAGCTGGAGTCCAATCCGTAGAGATGAGGGCTTCAGCTATCGTCGATCGAATATTTCGTTTCGGAATTATTTTCACGTTTCCAAATTTTCGTGTTGTATCATATTTACGTGTATCATGAACTTATTTTCAGTATTCAATGCTTCCTATAAATTAAAAATGAATGATGTCACATTCGAAACGTCGTTAATAAATTAAATTACTTCCTTGAACCTGAATTTTTATCAACCAACGCCAACTGAAGAATATTGTTCGATCCTGAAAATTTAAATCAATGATTTCTTTGGTCATTACCCACTCGTGTTTAAATAAGCTTACTCTGCTATCTTATAGTAATTAAATAATAGTGCATAATTAAAAACCCTGCAAATGCAAATCAAGATTAACCTGTCCCCATAAGAGCATGTCGCCGGAGTGCGCTCGGAGGAAGTAGTCAGTGCCCCAGCGGATGGCTGCTTCCACGTACTCTACTTGACCTGACGGATCGAAATTAGTTATTAGTGATCTTGTCGGCATCAGATTCAATATTTTTCTAATATTATCGCGTGGAGTCTTTAATGGATACTTTCGCCAAAAGTTGATTGATGTTCAAATAAATCGCAAGCTTTCGGATCGTACTCGCTTTGAAAGCACACAGATTTTTTGATTCACCTGCATTTTGTAGTTCGATTCTAAGGTATAGGTGACCGATGACGAGACAGTGTAAGAATATATCCAATAACTTGACGTACCTGCAGTCTCGTATCCCGCCCGGTAGGATAAGAGGCCCCAGGACAGCACCGTCACCGTGTAGGCCATCGGGTAGCCAAACTTCACGTGGTCTCCCGCTACAAGGAATGTAGACAAAATCTGTTAACCAGTTTATTTTGAACTGTTAATTTTTTATAATAGGTACTCTCAAATCAACGTATCTTAAGAATCTCTTCCTTAATTTTGATCATTTTTAATTGACAAATTAAGACTTCGATATTGCTCAAAGTCCTATAATAAATTGAAATAATTGCACTTTTCTATGGCCAAATTGGAGCCTAAACAACATTATCAAATTTTTTACGACACTGAAAAATTCATTCCCTTTACCAATTAAGTAAAGATTCACCATGATTACTCCAAATTCATCATCACAGAAGAATCATGACCAGTTATGTAACACGATCAATCATTTCAATTGCAGGCACGAATCTGACCATCGTAATATCCGCCCGTGAGGTCAACTCCCACATCGCTGCCATCATCGAGAGCGGAGTCTCCCCGCCAGTCGAAGCGCAAGTCAGGAGGCAGCCTGCCTGACCGGTTGGCTTCGTAAAATAGGATACTCATGCATAGTGCCTGCACGAACAAGTGGTTAACAGTTCAATTAATTCTAAACATTAACTATTTGTAGTACTTCATTAATACAATTCTAGTGTAATTTAGACAGTTAAGCACTATATGTGTTAAAATATTCAGGAACATTCGCAGGAAAATTGATCATGGATGGCTGAGATTAGGAAGTGTCATTTGTCCCTCCACGAAAATATTTGTGTCTAACTCTATAAAATGGGGTGTTCTAAATCAAATTTAATTAACTTGAATGATATGTCGTCAAATGCGGTATTGCCATTTCCAACAACTATGATAAATTAAACGAATTCAGTTCAAAAACAGTTCCAAACCCAAGTAAATCGTTTATGAAAGCAAAGTCTAGAAAATCAAAAATTGCCTCTAAATTTTTACATCGTTTCATAGCTTGTAATCGCACGGCTCATATACCGCGTGAGATTTACTTGCTTGAAATCTTACGGCTCATATACCGCGTGAGACTTACTTGCTTGTAATCGTACGGCTCATATACCGCGTGAGACTTACTTGTAGACTTACTTGCTTGTAATCGTACGGCTCATATACCGCGTAAGACTTACTTGCTTGTAATCGTACGGCGTTTGCCCCGTGGCACCGCAAGGGTTTGTGTCAGCTCTAGCACCCGCCCCTGCAATGAAGCACATGCATCAGATTACTGTCCGGCTTTGCTAAAATTTCTTAAAAACTGTCCTGAACCTATTGGATGATTGTTTGAAGATTTCTGCTTAATTTGAGGTTGACATAATCTTACCTCCCAAAAATGTTCTTTTACTTTGAATTCCCCGATAATTTCTTGTGCACCAAGACATTGACATCTTTGAGACACTACTTCAAATAGTTTAAAGACCAAAAAACCTTTTAAGGGTGACAATTATTATTCAACTACAGATTTTTATTCATTATTATGAATCAGTTATAAATAAAGGATGAAACTATAGATTGAACTATATCTAACCGGTCAGCAGGAGAGCCAGAAGAAGCGTCGCGAGCGCCATTGCTTGAAGACAGGCAATGAAGATTGCCACATTAATGTGGGCCTCAGTGATAAGTTGTGTGAATAGAGAGCCCTAGTCAGTGTTGTGCTGCAGCCGTGGAACTTCATCACCTGATATGAAACTGCAACAATAACTGAGTGATAAAATCGATACCAAGTGGCACTGTGATAAAAATATCACTAAATAGAAATAAAAATTTGCAAATGTACCCGCACTAAAAACATACATTTGACTGCCAAATTAACAATTATATCTCTTACAAATGGCTTAAAAATTCACATTTTTTAGTCAAGTTGTTTTTAAATTAGTCTTACAATGCAAATTTCACCAAAAATAAACTGAACATCGCGATGACAACGTCAAAATATTTGTGAACATTTTGGCGATCATAGAGCTTTATGTGCATTTTCTTTAAAGTTGAGAGTATATCGAACTACTCTGTCAACTTGGATAACTTGGCAACGCATGAGAGGACGGACTCGTGAACCGAAAAAAGGCCGATTAACTGCACCAGAACACGAGATATGCTTGTGAACCACGAGTGTTATTTTGAGTACATCGTCTGATGCTATTGCGTCGTAAAACTTTTTACTACCTGATGTTTAAACATTGTATTGCCTAGTAAAACTTATTATTATTTGGTGTTTGAAAAAATCAATGGCATAGTAAAACTTTTATAATCTGATGTTTCAACAATCAGATAATATTTAATTGCTATTAATCTATCACGTTACAAACTTCTTATTCCCTAATGTTTGAACAGAGTATTTGACCATACATATCCTGAACTGTCTGATGCTTAAACAATCGTTTAATTAATCCATTTCGCAATATGACATCTCATTTCGCATTAACGAAAAAAATCTGGCTGGGAAAAAATATATTCGACTTAAGGCAAATAAAACGCTGTGCTAAGACAACGTAACATTTCCGTACTCTTAAACTGGCGCAAACCTGTTGCAACATTAAATACTTTGAAATGATCTAGTATTTGATTACTGAAAAGCCCAGACATACGATATTTTAATAATTTGTCCCTGAAAAATTTCGTTTGCAGCGTGCTTCAATTAAATTTTAATGTAATTTGATTTTCAGGGCATTTCAATTATATAACATAAATTTCATTAACATACTCGTATATAAATTAAGTGTCTATAATTTACTCATTAACTTGCTTTCTAGATTTTCAAATTTTAACAAAAACATTCAAGTTCCAATCTTTCTTGTAATGATATTCAATATATTGATGTCATCAAGTATCGAACAAATCCATAATCCTGAATTTGCATTCCCACTTCACGTTTGTTTACCATCGGCATCTTAACGAACAGATAACGAGCTTGCGAACGCGCACGTGACCATAGAGACAAGCCACATGTCTGTTCTCACAATGAATCCTATGAAGGCATTTATAATTATTATACGATGTGATTGATAACGCGGTACAAGTCATTTTTCTGTTTTATTAACGCTTTATTTTGAGCACGAATAATCGAATGGTTTACTGTACAGAGTTTAAGATTGCATCCTTTTTACTGTTTTCTTTAATATAATAATAAGGCGGTTTCAGTGTTAATGCGGCCGTAGGAATGTCGCCGATTCTTAACATCGCCGAACATTCACAGCTTGTTGCGGTCTCAAACTCGCAACTCAATTCTTCAATAATTCTGCTGCGCCCGCCCGGCCTACTCGCAGATTCTGACCAGAAACTGGCGCACAGAGCTGGGATCGAACACGCGCCTCTAGGCGCCAATCTTGGTACTTGAACTGTAACCACTGGGCCACCTTGGTGAGGAAAGTACATGTGCAATGAAATTCTACCTGCCAATACTACTTTGTATTAATTTCCTAAAAATCAATGTTTTAATAATTTTAAAACACTTAATGCATTTTAAAGATCTCGCACGTAAATCATAAAAAGAGTATAAAAAGTGCAATGTTGCGCACTCTGCTGAACAATTATGCATGGATTATGTGTAGACTCGATAATCCAACACACGCTGTTTTACTAACTCAGAAAAAGCTATTATGAGGTCAATTAATATTTCATAAAAGAATGGACCATATATACCTCGTTATTCAATGTCTGTGTTACAGCGTTGTTGTTGTTGTTGTGGTTCCCGGTCTCGGTCAGTCGAACCAGAAAACGTCGCAATGGGCCCAAATGAGCTTGGGGCAAGGCGCCCACCCCTGGTCCCTTTACCCCACTTGCATATTTTTTATTTTAAAGATAATAATACAACACTTTACAGTTTAAGGTAACAAAAATGTAATGAAAAATATTACATTAACTCATTTAATAACACCTTGAAAAATCATATCCTTAACTTGACAAAAAAAATTCTTGGCTTAAAAAAATCTATCACTGACGTGAAGAAAATATTTCCTTGACATGCAAAATATATTCTTGTCGTAAAAATTCCTCATTGACATGAAAAAAGTATCCATGACTAGAAAAATACGTTTAGTTGAATAGGGATAACTTCGTTCCAGTTTTGTCCATAATCCAGATATTATGTGCAGGTAATTCGCACCTAGTCGTGATTTTAGCCAACACCGTAAAAAGTCATGAACTTTTGGCAACAAACTTTACCAGTTGCAAGAGTCAACAACTTATGCCAAACTTGTTGGTTGAGAAACTTATAAATCTTATAAAAGTTATAAATTTAACAATTATCGGACAGGATTGGTAACATTACCGGCCCAGGGTTTCAAAACCGGACATAAAAAAAACGCCAACCTTGTTGTGTTAGGGTTAAGTGTTTATAAAAAAGTGGACATATATATTAAATAAATTTACTCATATAGAAATAAAAGTCAGGTAAAGTGGACTTATAAATATTTATTTATAAATTTATAAATATATATATTCATATCAGTTTTATTTCTCGTTTCTTGGTCTGCCTCTCCTTTTATATTTTGTGTTCTCCCTTATCATGGTAGCGGCAGTTCCTTTTCAATCAGCCGATAATCATCAATATCTCGTAAAGCTTTAACAATTAACTTTGACGCGCAATGCAGAACAATTATAATAGTTTGTTAGTTCGCCCCTGCATGCTACTTGTAAGATCTTCAATTGCTGATCAATGCTCTACAGTTCAGTCGTCCAAAAAACTAATCTATCATACGCATCGTGACAGAAAGATGAAAGAATTTGATATGAATTAACTATCAGATGAGAATTTTTTCTCAAACTGTACACTCTACAGCAAAATTAAAGAAACCCCATGACATATAGATAGAGTAAATTTTTAATGATTCAGTGCCGAAATCAAAGCAATCGCGGTGCATATATAGTATACTTTACTCATGAGAGTAGATTTGACTATAACCTGAAAGTTGTTCACACCAGTGATCAGTTTACATTTTCGTATGATCATCAGTGAGAGATACAAAAATATTAACCATTTTCCTTATGAATTAACAAAATACAGATTAAAATTAATTACATTTTGGCTATCTACTTATCCAACAGCAGACGTATTGCTGGAAGAATTCATTTAAAATAAAAAAAAATTATGAGAAGCTATGCCTAGCATTCAAAAGATTTATTTTGTATCGGGAAGAATTTTTTTTTGCTATGAGAAAATACAATGAATTGTTGAAAAACAATTGATAACTCATACTTTAAGTAGATCGTAATTATGGAGTGTACTCAAAACTATCATATCATAACAACCAAATATGAAACTAACAGAGTCACAATTACGGTTGTTCATTTTGGAACATAAATTTTTATACATTCAATAATTGACGTTCACTGCTAGAAAAGATCCATTCCTAACTCTGTCAACGTCCAATCATTTAGCTGCTACTAGTTCTGTATTTCATGACTTAAATATTACATGTGATCGAGGGCATTCAACTGGGAGTATGCAGGCAGGCTTGATGGCGCTGTGAATTTTTGAACGGTCAAATTGATCAATAGAATTTTACTGTCGGTAGTGGACATTAATTTTTTAAGATTTAAATAGCGTTACTAGCCTTTTCGTTGTTTTATATGTAAAAATGAATAAACATGTATACATATAATATGATTGGGTATTTTTTCATCTTAAATAAATTTTTTTATGTCTCTGGATTTCGTCTATTTGCAAACTTTACAGCTCTACGACGAGGATTCAATTGCCAGTTAATGAGCAGAAAGGATCCGAAATAACAAATTATTTTTGCAAGAAAGTTAACAATTCACATGCAGATGAACAGTTAATATTTCACATGCAATCGAATTTTTTCTCTCGCCGGTTTCTGCTCACAAAATCAAATTATTCATTTACTTGAAAAAAACTGTTAATTTAATATTTTCTCGGTTTCACTTACAACTGCCAGTGAAGTCGCCAATCGATATTCCAATAATTTCTACTGAATGTTGTCAGTAATGCAAAGTCAATGAGGAAGAGAATTAAGCAAAAATTTGGAGACCTGAGAACACGAGAGATTAAGGAAAGAACGGAGAAAAAATTATTGTACTAACTTAAATCTATAACTTTACGGCGAAATGAAACTGCAAAGTTTTGATAGAGGTTGATGGTGGGAAATATTTAATGCCTTTTACTATACTCTGATTCCGCTGTTAAAACTAATTAAACCGAATAAAAAGGTCGATGAGAAATATATTTTTTCTAAAGTTAACTGGCATGTTTTGTTGATCCATTTTTAAAATTAGTTCCTGTATCAGGTGTAGGGATACTTTTACTACTTAGATGTTATATCTCTGACATACGTACAGTTGTGCTCACGGCGCAGTCTTGATGACGAGCGTAACCTACACATCAGACTGTCTTTTTTATTACAACGCTACTCTTTACCTTCACTTTTTGTTGTTTGTGTGTTTGTCTGCTACAAATCTTATAATCGATATTTAACGCACTTCTACCTGTCCAATCGATCTGGAATTTTGCACCTTGCATAAAATCGGAGATAATGCTTGAAAAAATAAGAAAAATTAATATTAATACAAATTTAAGAATACTTTTTTTAATATTTGAAAATAAATAAGAAATTCATTGTACATGTTTAACATCGGAGACACTCG